CATTGATGACCTGACTTTCTTTGTTTTGAGGTTGCCTAGAGGGTCATTTAAACAGGCCATGACTCCGTGTCATTTGATTACTTGCACTGCAAGATGCATCTGGCATTATTTTATCCACTGGAGCCACGACGCGCCATCACCTATCACCAACGATCTTTAAGCAGGTACTCCTTACAGCACAGCAAATTTGACCATAAATTTAAACCAGTGCTAAATGAGGCAAACTAATAGTAGTTTAGTAACAACTTCGTACTTTGTAAAATTCTGAAAGTAAAGCTAATTTAAAACCATAGTAACTTTTTGCTGATGAATAATATTTAGCGTCTGAAGCAGCTACATCTTCATATTCAATCGTGAGCAGCAAGTAAATCAGAAAAATTATTTAACTGCCATCTCACATTTCTATTATTTAATTCCCGTCTGAACTGACACTGGTTATCACCTGCAAATTATTTTGTGCTGCTAACCATGGAATCAGAAAACATATCAGCTCCAAGTTATCCACTACCTGGAATCGGAGTGAGTTAAAGAAGACGTGATTATTATCAACAAAAACGCACTGCGCAGCATTTCAGTAATTTGATAACATTCTTCAGGTCTGATGATGTTGCACTGGTACTGAGCCTAACAGATGATGGGTAAGATTCCATCGGAGGGTAGTGTTTGTCTTAACCCGAAGGCGTTTAAGTAATAGATTTGCCACAGATTTTTTCAGATAACGGTTGCTCAGTCAGACTCAGCGTCCGAAGCTACCGGTTCGAACACTGTAAAGAGTCACTAGCCTTTGTTTCTTTCTTTCTTTAAACTAAAGCACCGATGGCTGATAATATGGAAAGAAGGGCGCCAGAAACGGCTCCGTTATGGATGTGTAAGGAAGACCGACGTTTCCAATGGTTACAAACCTTCCTTAATTTTTACTGTCTTCAAGTGTTAAGATATTTCCACATTGCTCGATGGCACTCAGACAGAAAACAAACTGACAACCCACTAACAATTTCAACCGTAGCAATAATAACAAATAAACAACAATTCAAACACCAATTTCGTACTCATCAAAATCGGATCATATCATCATCAACAAAATAACAAAATGAAACATGAGAATTTTTACCGAACATCCAAACACTTGATCCAAAGACTTAGAACTGCCAGTAAAAGTTGCGAGGATGAGGATCCAGAAACAAGCAGAAGTATAGAAAATA